AGATGCTGGTTAGCAATGGGGAGGGGGGATGCACGGGGGGGCGGACCGGGCAGGCTGGGCTAGGCAGGTGGGCAGGTCGACCGGAGGGCACAGCGGACTCTGACAGCTCAGGCCAACTATCTGAGGGAGGAGGCCTGGGGAGAACCACATCTCCTCTGCCAGTCAGACTCTGAGCAGGGGCTGTGTCTCCCACTGAGACTAGGGAATCAAGGAGGCAGGCCCCTCTTGGCCCTAACATACAGTCTCGGAGAGATAGTAGTGAGAGAAAAGGCAGGAAAAGGGAAGTGGGTTAGGAGGGGTGCTCAGGGGTCATCTTCTAAGGGCACCTGAGTTTCTGACCTGTGACTCAGGACCCAGGGGCAGATGTGCAGAGAGGTGGGGTGGTCCAGGGTTTCTGCACTGCATGGTTCTGGCACCCGGAGTCCACCTGCCCCCAATCGGCAGATGTGGAGACTGAGGACCAGGGAGGGGACTATACTGCCCACAGTGAGTGTGTGCCCAAATCAGGACTAAAACCTCAGCCCAGGCCTCCTCCCACTACTCTAAGCTCACCAAAGAAAGGAGGGAAGGGCTGAGAGGTGGCCAACCTTGCCAGCCTCTGCTCTAAGCCCCTTATGCACATTCCTGCATTCAATACTCAAGCAACACCATCAAGCAAGCATAATTAGCTTCTCTCTTTTTTTTTTTTTTTAAAGCAGAATAGAAGCCCTGAGAGGTTGAGAAACTTGCCTGAGGTCACACAGCTAGTAGGAAGGACAGCAGGCGAGGAACCTAGGTGCTCTGACCCCAAGCCCATGGCCTCAGCCCCTCTGTAAAAGTACCTGCTTACCATCCCCAGTTGGTAGAATGGATGCAGGAAACAGCGAGGGGAAGGGGAGCCCATTAGCAGTAGCCTGTGCCCCAGCCAGAAGGGTGTCCCCACCACCCACTCACTGGCCCACCCCATCTCTCTGGACCCCAGAGTGGGTCAGGCTTGCCTAGGAAGGTCTCCAGCGGGGATCCCCAGCTCCCAAGCCCCGCCCCAAGCCCCACCTGCCCTCACCTGATATCATCCTCATTGGCAAAGATGATGACCGCCCTGGCGTTCGAGGTCTCCAGGAGGCGCCGGATGATCTTGTCGAACTCCCCAGGCTTGGGTTCCCGTGGTATCTTGACCGACTGGGCAATGCACACACCCCCTGCAAGAAGGGCACCAGTCAGCCTGGGGCGGACAGAGTCTCTCCCCCAACCCACACTCCTGGGGGCTGCTCACGGCCCTGTAGCCTGACTCTTAGCTCCCAGGTCCCCATCTCTGGGCACGGGCTGTGCAGTCAGGATAGCCACAGTGGGAATTTCGGCTCCACAACTCACAAGCTTGGTGACCCTGGACATGTCACTTAGGGTCTCTGTGCCTCAGTTTTCATAAATAAAATAGGTTGTTAGCAAGAGGCAATGCAGCATTGTGCTTAAAGCTAGACTGCCTGGGTTCAAATCTCAGCTCTGCTACTTACCGCTGTGTGATCTCGGGCTGGTTACTGAACCTCTCTGTGCCTCAAATACATCATCTATAAAGTGAAGATAATGATACTACCTATTTCATAGAGTTGTTATAAAGCTAAGTGTGTTCATGCATATAAATACAATAATATCTGGCACATAATAAGTGCTCAGTAAACATTGGTTCTTTTCGATGTAACCACCTCATAAGGTTTTTTGGAGGAGTAAATCTGAGAACGAGAGCAAATTGCCCACCCTGGGCCATTAGTGCCTCTGGCACCCACATCCACACACACCAACCAGGGCTCTTGTCCCCGTGCCCCATGCTCATCAACAGCCCCCTTAGTAAGAGCAGTGCGCATGGCTGCTGACTCGTGCCCACACATCCTGGGCAGCACTGCTGCAAACCCAGCTACAGTCCTCATCCAGGTCTTCCCAGGTTCCCTTCCAGGAACCCGCAGGCCACTCAGTGTGTAAGTCTCTCCAGCTCCCACCCTGGCCTGGCAGGTCGCCTTGATACTCGAGGCCCCGCCCATCTTATTTGTGATCAGATTCCTAGCAGGGAGCTCAGGAGAGCCCCGGAAGGTCATTCTAACCAGAGTGCTTTGGGTGGAGAGACTGGAAGAGCTCTGATTGGGGTCAGAAGGTCTTTAGGGGCCCTCCTGTCACCCCTTCTTCTCTGGGCCACCACCTACCTGGCTGAGTCCTGGGGAAGGGGACCCAGGGCCTACCTGCCTCTCAAGCTCATGCCTCTGCAAGAAGCCCAGCCCCCAAGTCTGCAGGAGCCAGGATGCAGTCAACACACCCCGGAATTCACAGCCAGGCCATGTGGCTTTACAGAAACCCTGGAAGCACTTTCTACTTCACACAGCCAGTCCCCAGCCTCAGACGTGTCTCTCCAGTGCTGCCAGGGGACAGGTATCATGCGTGTGTTACAATCTCCCCTCATCTCCTGCTACAAAAGCACTGTGGACCACTGTTTCTATCAACTGCATTTGACAGATGAGGAAACCGAGGCTCAGAAAAGAGAACTGGTTTACCCAAAGCCACACAATTCCCTGCCTCCAGAGAGTAAGACCCCCCCCCCCCAG